TGATAGTCAAGTGTCTAGAGTATTATGTTTAATATTATCCTGTTGTATTATTGTATTAGTAATATAACCATATCCTGTTGGATATGGTTATATTACTTAAATTAAAAGGTCTACCTCTGGGTAATGCGGGCTTAGTAGCACATAATATAGTCCTAAAATGAAATAAAAAACATAAAAACAGAGAAAACAATAATGACATAAACCCAAGTTTTAAAATTGTTACGCAGTCCGACTCTCCTTCGAGTAATTCTGAAATAGCAATATTGTTTCTACATTAGTATTCAGTCAAATAAATCCAATTTTCTATTCCAGTTACGTTCCTTTCAATAATCTCGAACATTATATACAGAAGCAATAGGAGGAAGAGAGTAAACAAATTGACTCTTTTCTGCACGATTTTCAATTTAAATAGAGCATATTCACGATGCGTTGAAAATGTGAAGCTTTAGCATTTTTTCATTACATTGACTTATGTTAGCCCCGTCGGGTTAGCATGGAACCCTCTACGGGTCTACGAAAAAAATCGTAGAGGTCGAAATTGTAGGATTTTTTAATTCCTGCCACGACGCAAACCACACGCACCTGTACATTTAGGCCCTAAAGTCAATAATAAATAATATAATTCAATAATTACATTTCCCCCTTTAACTCAAAAAATATTTACCGCAACAAAAAGATATTAGTAAATAAAATGTAGAAAATTGAATAATGAACAAATATAGTTTTTATAGTTTTTCTCTAGAAATTGAAAATAGCCGAGAATAGATAATATAAATGGTTGAGAAAAAACGATTCCCTCTTAATATCGAGATGGCGGCTAACGCATCGCTCGAACCCCCGTAAAGGCTGGTGAAATATATTTTTTTCTAGAAATTTTTGGGATTAGGATCATTATTTTTCGACAACTCTACTGGGGTAGTAACGTATTTGATTTTATAGGCTTTACTTAGAACAAATATTGTTATTAAGTTGTATGTATTTATTCATAAATTTTGGTAAAGCTAGGCTATATTATAATTATTTTAGACTAAGCTTGGCTAATTCATTACCTATATCAATATATATAATACAATAGGTAATGCTGCTTTTTACAATGCACACTAAATTATATTAATAAAACTCACTATAGAGTAGCGCAATCAAGCAGTGGCAGCTAAAACTACGACGCCGGAAGTGCATATCGAGCGTGAGTGCTACAATTCATTAATGATGAAAGAATTCCGATTTTATTTAATTATTTATTCGTATTTGTTTTATTTTCGTGGAGAAATCAATTAATAATTATTAACAAAAGTGAAAAATAGTGCGGGAGATTGAAATATCGAACAAATAAAGTCTTTTTCAATAGAGATTTTATCTTTTTTTTTTTAATTAGGTAATAATTGCACAATGTTTTGCAATTTAGCACTTTATTTGTAATACAACGATACTTTGCTCTCTAAGTTGATATACTTAATCTCTTATTCATATTATTTAACTTTATTGTAATAGCTTTAACAATGCACGTTACAACGTACATTTTAGTATAACTTCTTGCGTTAAGTACATGTTATATCAGCACAAACAAAGAGAAGGAACGTAACTCTACCGACTATCGAACACAGGCATTAGATTTGTATAGAAAAACCACGAGAAATATGGTTATTCTGTGAGCTTTTATTAAATATTATAAATTGAAAAAAAAATATTAATGATACGAGTATATAGCGAAAAATTGACGAAGTAAAAACAATAGTTCACTCCTATACTATAATATAACTCATGGAGTCATTGTTTATAGAGACGTATCTAATAATAGGAATATTTTGTCTGTCATAAGAATTTTTGGCTGCTAGTCCAAGTGAAGACAGTGTGATAAGAACGCTAAGTAGAAATCAGTGAGAAAAAGTCAAATCATAATTAACTCTCTAATATGATGTAAGACCATAATATTTATATTACTAATGTTATACTTGCCACAAACGTTGATAATAAAATGATATGCTTTAATTCCTTCTTTCCGTTGAATACGTTTTTGATGATAACTTTTGCAAGCATATATAAACAGTAGATATTGCTGTGTCAAAAGGTATTTATTGCTACTGGATTTTTCATAACGTTAGCGAAGTGGACAAAGGTACGACCCTCGTCATCGCCAGTAGATGGAGTGCGCCACAAAGATATGAGGACTTCTGAAATACTAGGCGTTTTTCTTATTAAATCTTATGTAAATCTATTCAATATGTCACTTGGACATGCTATAAGGACTTGTCACTTTAGTTACATATCTTTTCATTAAATATTTTTTCGCTTTCTTATATAAAGAATCGTTAAGGTTAGTAAATATAATAAGGCTACTGCTGCTTTTGCTTAGAGTAGTGTAGAGATAGACACAGACTTTATGTGGAAGCACCAATTTTTGTAGGAGTATATAGGTATAATATTTTTAAAACTATGTATTTTAAAATTATATAAAACGGTTTTCTTTCATAAACTTGATCATTTGACCCGTGACATGATTGACTTGTTTTTTTTTTATAATTGTAATTTTTTCTACAATATCAAAATTCACTTATTATTATTATTAAGCGTACCTATATCTATGTGCTAAATTCATTTTTTTCCAACTCATGGGTCTAGATCTAACATCCTGAGTTTAAAGCCCGTGTTGTTAGCAATCCGGAGTGGGAAAGTTTGTCGTGTGTACACAACACTCACCCGTACTTCCAAGAGTAAAAGTCATAGTTTTTATTCCACCGAACTATGAGAGTTAAAGGAATAAAGAATGTACTTATGTTAGTGGACGCTCTTGTGCACTGTTATTATCTTCTAAACATATAATAAAATTCTAACTGACATAACATTTTTATTATCGATACAGTTATTTTCTTGGAAATTTTGTTTGTCTGTCTTTCTGTCTGTCTGGAAACGCATCGCGAGAAAACCACTGGACAGATTTTGATGAAATTTGGTATAATGATAGCGAGGTATCCAGGTCAACATATAGGATATTTTGTACTGTGGGAAAATATCTCATATTTGAAAAATCTATACTATTAAAACTTTCCTAGGGACAAACCGAGCGGAGCCAAGCTGACTCGCTAGTTTGTCATATAGTTGGCAAATCTCAGTAATATTAGCCACCTTAACCAAAATCTGATAAGGAGTTATTAATATTATATCTTTTTTATTGAAAAATAGATTACACATTTGGTGAAAAGTCAATAGATTAATATATCGATTTTATTCAATTTTCTTGTTAATGGCTTCAAAGTGTATCAGATGAGCAAAGATAACATAGCCAATGTCACGTACGATGGAGAAGACATGAAGGAGATTGGTCGGTAAATATGTAAATATGTAAATATGTGGGGACATTAACACACAGCGCCATCTAGTTCCATGGTAAGCTACGAGGCTTGTGTTATGGATACCAGATAGTTGATATACTACACATATATAACTTTAAATACATACATACTATAAATATAAACACCCATGACTGGAGTGCAAACATTCGTGCTCATCACACAAATGAATGCCCCCAGCGGGACTCGAACCCGCAACCACTGGCAGAGCAAGTAGGATCACTACAAACTGAACCAAACGTGTCGTCGGTAAAATAATATCATTAAAGAGATGAATTATGAATATTAGTTTGTAATTAGGCTCCTTTAAGTTATTAAAGTTTATTGAACGATTACAGATTGGTTATAATTTGGGAAATATTTTTTTTAATGTTTATGTTTAATTTAATTGTAAAAATAAATTAAAAGAAAGCAATGCTAAATTCGTCTGTTTTAGCATTTAGATTTTCAAGTCTGTAGATTAAATAGTACTGTTCTACTAAATATCTAAAGAAAATTTAAATATTGCGTTACAAAGCACCTACTGTTTCTTTAAGCTTAATAATACCTGTCTTAGATTTCTAGCCTTTAATTACTTAGCGAGGTCTTGCTAATTTGACATTACTTTGTTAACTTTTTTAATTTAAATACCACATACAAAATCAGGTTACTTCCATTCTACATATATATCTAACTGCCTCGGTGGTGTAGTGGCTAGCATGTACGGCTGCACACCCGGAGGTCCTGGGTTCGAGTCCCGGGCCGGGCCAAGTTTAGTTATTGAGTCTGTCTGTATATTAAGCCTCAGTAACAGCTCGGAGTTGGGAAGTTGGCGGTGTTTCACCCCCGTGAAAGAGAACATCACATATATATCTATACTAGCGACTAACCCTCGCTTCGTTCGGGTGCGTCCCTAGGTACGCGGATTTTGTTAGCGATTTTATGATAACGGAACCCTATGATCCTTAATATTATTCCTATTACCCTTTTTCTTAAATAAAAGTAACCTAAGTTACTCCTCATAATATCAGCTATCTGCCAGTGAAAATCCCATCAAAATTGGTCTAGCCGGTTATTATTATATATACGTACATATATTATATATAGTTTCGGATCTCCGAGATAAGCAGAAATAAACAGACAGACAGAAAGACAAAAATGTTTAGAATTGCTTTTTTATTATATACTTCCATATGTATTTATTAAAAAAGATGTTATTTTGACATTACAAACAGACACTTCAATTTTATTTATCTTTATAGATAACTAGCATTGCCCACGGCTCCGCCCGCGTTCAGATGACTAAAAACCAAATTCTTAGGTTTTACATATTAGTATACTCTTACAATGCAGTTTTTGTATTTTTTTCAGAAATGAGAAATTTTCCCGCGGTAAAAAGTATCCTATATGTTGACCCGGATAACCAGCTATCATCATACCAAATTTCATCGAAATCTGTCCAGTGGTTTTTTCGTGATGCGGTAACAGACAGACAAAAAATCTAAAAACTATAAATTCGGACTCTGTATTGATAATAATATCTATTTCAATAACTTTTTGCAAAAAATATCTAATGTACAGATTCGGCTTAGTTACAATTTTATTATATGTATAGATTAACACTAGTGTTGCAACAGAACTCTGCTTCCGCTTCCGCAACTGCAGAAGTTCCGCATGTTTTTTCACTTCCGTTTCTGCTTCTGGTTCCGCAAATTTTATAACAGAACTCTGAACGGAAGCGGGGAGAAAGCGAGCGGTGCAGCAGACGCGACGGCCGGCGGCACGGCGCGGGCGGTTGCGGGGGCCGCGCGTGGACGAATGACACGAGCGTCGAGCGTCCAGGCGCGCGTGCTGCCGATAATTACCGAATCCCTTCCACGTATTTTGGGAGGGAGGGGCGCACGGTAAACAAACGTGTCACAACGAGTTCGTTCGTTTATTTAATTATTGTTTTTAGTTCACTATGCGCATCTCCGCGCCCCGTGACTTTGAGTAGTGACATTTTCAGTTGTTTTTTCTTCTGTTATTGTTTGCTTGATACCTAGTTGTATTTAGTGCAATAAGAGTGCAATTATGAAACCAAAAACAAGTCCCATTTGGAACTATTTTGATGAAATCGACGACTCGAGTGCCAAATGCAAACTTTGTGAAAAAGTGTATTCGCGAAAAGGCCGCACAACTACAGCTTTAAAGAGTCACCTAAAATCAATTCATGCCGAACGGTTTGCAGAGTTTGAGAAGTTAAATGATGCTGTCAAACTTTCATCGGAAACGAAAAAAGAAATGGTCAGTTAATATTTATTTATTACTTACTTTACCAACTTTGAGTAAGTGAGGTCGTGCGTGGCCTAGTGGTCGAATATTAGTATGGATACGTGTTTTATTTCGTGAAGTAATCGTAACCAATTTATGTTGTTGTAATTGTAGGTTACGTTAACTCCAACCGAAAACGCTAAAAGACAATTAACATTACAACAAAGTCTACAAGTAAAGGATTATTGGGATTCATCGCATCACAAATCTCAAGAAATGGATCGTACGATTGCTGAAATGATTGCCCTCCAAAACTTACCCTTTCATTTTGTCGAAGGTACAGGATTTCGTAGAGTAATGCAAGCTGCTCTTCCAAAGTACAAGATAAGAGGCCGTGATTTTTTTTCTTCCTATGTGTGCGACAATTTGTACAATAAGTTAGCAAAGAAAACCAAAGATTTACTTGAAGAATTTGACAAGTTATCTTTTACAAGCGACATATGGTCGGAACTTCATTCTGCTGTTTCATTGCTTAGTTTAACTGCTCATGGGATCTCAAAAGATTTTCGCAAAAAGACTATAATTTTGAAATGTGAAGTCATGGATGAACGTCATACGGGCACCATAATATCAACAAAGTTTCAAACGATTCTTGAAGAATGGGGCATTGATCGCCAAAAAGTTCACTGCATGGTTCGTGATCGTGGATCCAACATGGTTAGAGCAATGCAGTTGTCAGGCTTTGAGGATATCAGTTGCGCAATACACCAAATTCAGCTGTGCATACGAGCAGGTGTTGAATCTCAAGAGTGGCTCCTACAACTTATTGCTAAATTGAAAAAAATTGCCACCCATTTCAATCATTCCTTGGTCGCACAGGCAGAGCTTACAAAAATTCAAAAGGAACGCCTTAATCAGTCTCCTCTTTCTGTCATTCAGGATTGTCCTACAAGGTAAATATAAATACCTATTAAATTACTAATAAGCAAATGTTTTTATGAGTTATAGGAGTTTTTTGATTGTACTTATAAATAAATATATTTTTAAGATTAGGTAATTGAATTTGGATTTATATTTTGAAAAGAACTAATATTTTGACATTTAATTTTGTATAAATTTTTGCAAGCCATCATTGGGTGAAATATCTAACATTTTATTTTCTGTGACCATCTATTTATTGATCATATTTCTAGCAAGTAAAATTGAATTGATTTGATTTAATTTCAGATGGAACAGCACATTCTACATGATGGCAAGGTTTTCAAAACTCAAAGATTCGCTTGTCTTGTACCTAAGCGCAAATCCAATCGCGATGATATCCCCCGAAGACTGGATGAATATTCAAAAATTTGTGCAATTGATGCAGCCATTTGAAGAAATAACAAGAAATCTAAGTAGTTCTCAAATCAGTATTTCATTAGTCATACCATTAATTCAAGTTCTTAAGACCACATTACAACAAGAAGAGACGAAACCTAATACTTCAGAACAATTCATAAATTTTATAACAAAATTACGCGATGAATTGAATTCAAGTGTAAGATTTGGAAACCTGGTCGAAGACGACAAATACACTATTGCGACGTATTTGGATCCGCGATACAAATCGCATTTTTTCACCAGCGTCATTGCAGAGCAGGTTGAATCTAAATTACTTAATATGACGATTAACACTATTAGAACCAGACAATCCAATTCCATCCAAGATGATGACTGCGAACCTTCCCCCAAAAGAAGCCGAACTCAAATTGCAATTGAAGACATTGAAGTCCAGCCTTCTACTTCCAAATCATCAGCATCATTGCAAATATTGGAATCGATGTTAAGTGTAAATGAAGACCAGGAGGAGGACTCTTCTACAGCTGACGATGGTGACAATTTACTTTTAAAGATACAGTCACACCTTCGGGAGTACAAGAAAGAAAAAAGGCTACCTCTTCATGAGGATCCCCTTATGTGGTGGAATGGAAATGCGCACAAATATAATAATATTTTGCCAATAGTTCGCCAATACTTATCAGCTCCCCCCAGCAGTGTAGCCAGCGAGCAATTATTTAGCGGAGCTGGTTTAATATATGAAGAACATCGAAATAGGCTGAAAGGTGAAAAAGCGGCCAAGTTACTCTTTATTAAATATAACTTGCCGCTGTTTAATTTTGACTACTAACATAGAAATTTAATAAAAAAAGTTTTAAATGTACAATTGTGCTTTTTTTTCATAGTGTTAACGCTTCCGTTTCCGCTTCCGTTTCCGTTTCCGCTTCCGTTAAGATTTACTTTTGACATCTGTTTCCGTTTCTGCTTCCGTTATGCCAGTTCCGTTGCATCACTAATTAACACATTCTTTGGTGTTTGAAAGTTTTCGTTCAACAAAAACGTTGAAAGTGTATAATATATTATAGTAGAGTAATATGTTTTACTAGATTTTACGGTATGTATATTCTCCATTAAGATTTTTCAAGAGAGTATCAATAGACCATCTATATTATTTAGTATAGAAAATGGACTATAAAATAAATACTGCTAATAATAAAATAATGTATGGTCATAAGTTTTATAAATACATAGAGAGTTAAAAGAATAGTTTTATACTTCACGTTCCAGTGATCATAAAACATAATGTAGCAGGCGGTACATCATTCGAACGTCGCAAGGGAATCACCTCTGAAAATTCAATTACTTACGTCACTTTTAGTGTATAGTTTATTATATGACTAGCATTGCCCGCGGCTTCGCCTGCGTTCAGTGACCAAAAACCAAATTCCTAATTTTTACATATTAGTATATTCTTACATTGCAGTTTTTGTATTTTTTCTCAGAAATGAGATATTTTCCCGCGGTAAAAAGTATCCTATATGTTGACCCGGATAACCAGCTATCACCATACCAAATTTCATGAAAATCCCTCCAGTGGTTTTTCTGTGATGCGGTCACAGACAGACAGACAAAAATTCTAAAAACTATAGATTTCGCCTCTGTATCGATAATAATGTCTATTTCAATAAGATTTTTCAAAAAAATATTTAGCGTACAGATTCGGCTTAGTTACAATTTTATTATATGTATAGATGATCTTATACTAAACACGTGTAACGAAACGTAACGAACGAATTTTATTGGACTTTTCCATATAACGTGTTTTGTACAGCAAAAACATTCACAATATGGCGAATCGCTCACCAGCCAGATAGTCGTTATTTTGTATTAAAATATTCCTATATTAAATTACTAATTAATAAAAAATATATAGCGTACTTATGTCGTAAGTAAACAACTACAAAGGAGAAAGCATACCTACTGTTGATGATATTATATATCGGATTTCTCTTGTACTCTTGGTAACATTCTTAACATGATATCTAAGGTTTATTCTCTATACTCCGAGACAAAAGACCCGGATTACAATTTGTCAGAATAAAATATTTTTGCCTGCGGAAAATATTTTGTTTTATTGGTGATAAAGTGAAAAAAGGGAAAATACTGTGGCCATGGTTGAATATAAAAACTTATTTCGCTACACCATAATATATTGAGGAATCAGATTATATGTATCAAATATTGCAAGATTGATTTTAAATGTAATTAATTATATTCATGAAAAATAATTCATTTCCTCATCACAACATTATTGGTCAAATGAAATTTGGGGCAAGATTAGTTTAACAATCACTGTTATTTGAAGCTTTTGTCAGAGACTAGTGTCTGTACAGAGTTAAAACCTGTATAGTATTGCCAATGGCCATGCACTCACCTTTAAACAATACTTCCATACTAATATTATAAGTGTGAAAGTGTGTTTGTTTTATTTGTTTGTTTGTTTGTCCTTCTTTCACGTGAAAATGGAATGACGGATTGGCGTGATTTTTTATGTGGAGATAGTTGGACGGCTGGAGAATGACCTAGACTACTTTTTACCGGAAGATTACCTCATTCTCACGAGAAAATACGTTATAATACACCCCAAAAAAATATTTATGATCAGAATTACTCGAAACTTGGATTTAATGCTCTTCAATACAATTAAATAAATACGTGTTTTAGAATTTTTCGAAATTCATCCCATAAGGGGGTAAAATAATGCATGAAAGTTTATATGTAACTCAGCTTTTTAGATTTTTTGTAGTTTTAGCGCGAGCAAAGCCGCGGGTTCTGCTAGTTATAATTATAAAATACTTGTTACAATCAGCATAGAATTTAATTATGTTCATGGATTTAGTAAAATATGTAATATAATTTGTATATTGTGACCTGGCGGGACTAGACATAATGAGCGGTACGATGTAATGTGGTGTGTAATGTGAGATGTGGATTTAATTACAATATATATGAGGTTGAAGTTAATTAAAAGGATACACATACATACACACATGTATATTAGTTTAAGATATAGTATTGGATAGATATTATTCTTTATATAGAAATAGCAAAATATTATCTTATTAATGGGAATTAGAGATGTACCGACTCAAAATGTCGGGAACTAAAAATTAATATAAATGCGCGAAAAAATCCGAAAAGATACTTTTATTTTAAACTAGCGATTCACCCTCGCTTTGCTCGGGTTCGTCCCTAGGTACGTTTGAATTTTTGTGAGCGGAACCCTAATTCGTTTTCTAAAATAAAAGTAGCCTATGCTACTCCTTATAACATCAGTTATCTTCCAGTCCCGTCAAAATCAGTCCAGCCGTTTCAGAGATTATCCGGAACAAACAGACAGACAATTTTTAAAAAAAAAATGTTTTTTTCTTATAAGTACCGTATATAATTCCATATGCATTTAGTAAAACGCTGTTATTTTAACATTACAAACTGACACTTTAATTTATACAATAAAAATAATCCACATGAATCAGTATTCGCGCTTATTATTAGCGTATTTCATGTATAACTTTGGTGTTTCTATACCAATTTCTATGATTCTTTTTTATGGAATAGTTAATAATGTTAACTTTTTTAATTAGGGATGACTGAGAGTGTTATAAACGTAAGAGTAGACAAATATAAATCAGAAAGCTTCGAACTGCTAAGCTATCGGGAGTTACACGTGTTATTGTGAGTCAACCATAAAAGATAGACATATGCTGACGTGGGATATTGTTTATATAATTTTAAGGAAAACATTTCCGTCATACATGATTTCTGTGTAGCTTTAACCATTAAGGTTGCACACGCGACGGAAGCTTAAAAAATGGAGTAACTTCTCCCGTTTTCCCAACATTTCCCTTCACTGCTCTGCTCCTATTGATTGTAGCGTAATGAAAAGTATACTTTAACCAGCTCAGGAGTATGAAAAATAATTGCACCAAGTTTCGTTAAAATCCGTCGAGTAGTTTTGGTTTCTATAACGGTTATACAGACAGACAGACAGACAGACAAAAATTTTACTGATTGCATTTTTGCCATCAGTATCGATCCCTAATCACCCCCTGATAGTTATCTTGGAAATATATTTCATGTACAGAATTGACCTCTCTACAGATTTATTATAAGTATAGATGTCAAATATTCGCGTAAATCTAAGAAAGTATGACATTACCTTATTTCAATTTAGTAGGTACTTTCACTATATTACAAACTGTCTTAGCTATACTTTTGTTTATTTAAAAAAAAATACAAACAACAAAATCCCAATTTAATAAAAACCTATTCTTACACTAGCGACTCACCCTAGCTCCGCTCGGATTCGTCCCCAGATGATTCTTTAAATTGACGTAACTTTTTTATTTATGTATCGATTGAAATAAAACAAATACTAAATATTAAGTGAAGCTTACCAAAATATATTCGTGAAAACCGCATCCAAATCGGTTTAGCCGTTTTTGAGATTAGCGCGCACAAACGCACAGACAAACAGACAAGCCGACAAACAGACAAAAATTAAATAATTATAAAAAATTTAAATAAAACTATCTTTTCGGATTTCGCGGATTTATTTTGATTTTTGGTTCCCGACGTTTCGAATGTTCAGCAATCATGGTCACGGGAGAGACTGAGGTTATAGACGTCTCAAACACATGCTTGTTACAGACAGTGCCTACCCACTATTTTACAAAAATGATTTCGAAAATTCAAAAATGGCAATAAAGTACCTTACAATATTTGTTACTTCGTATTACTAAACATTTTTAAAAAAAAATAATAAATATTATTAATAAATTTAGCATTATTATTTATTTAATTTTTGCTGTTATTATTATAAATATTACAATATTTTTAAACTTTATTAATTACTTTTTAAAACTTTTTTAAAATTATATATAAAACAATAACATTGCTTAGATAAATAATTAATATTTTTAATTTTTAATATTCTTTATGGTTAAACATAATATAATAATAGCAACACTAAATAATGTTAGTAATTAATAAAGTTTTTAATGTAATTATAACTACTAAAATACTATACAAAGTATTATGTTTTAGTTGCCATATAATATTTTGTGCGGGTGTGTTGTGTGTTTTGTGCGAGACTGGATATTCCTGAAATGTTTATTAATAGTTATTCAAGAATTATTATTCGAGTCTCTTCAGAATAATTCTATGTCAAGGCTAACAGAAACATTATGTCAGTCGCCCACATAAAATCCATTCATATGTTGAAAAGCACTGAACAATGTCTGTATAAATAAAATAACCTTTCCATATCTCCTCACCACAATGAGCACGCCTCACTAAAAATGTATGACGACAAAATTAACGTTCAAAATGTAAAAAAATTGTTTGCTCTCATCATACTTTAAAAATTGGCTTTGTCTTACTCTTTGGCAGTAATGTTGAATGCATAAAATTTTCTTACCGTATATATTTGATTATCATAAATTACCTACATTTGGTATACTATATTATATTAGGTTTTACGTTTTCATGGTATATGAATTAAGCATGAGTTGATCAAACATTTGTTATTTTGAAACCAAAGTTGTTCTTTCTCTAATGTTAACAAAAATATCAAAAGTTTGTTTCAAGAATTTCTCTATCTCTAGAGGTATTTTTCGTTTTAATTATTTAACTAGTTTTTGCCCGCGACGTCGTGCTGGGTAAATAAGAGATCAGACGCAGGCAGTGGTAGCCCAATGGTAACGCGCTCGCTTGGTAAACTGAGTTAAGCGGGTTCAAATCCCGGGTCTCGCACTTCTGATATTTTCATGTGCGAATCATTTACCA